ATGTCCATGGATTCCCTCAATGCTCCTGCCATCTCGCGGGCTAAGGCACCCATGGCCTGCTGACCTACTGGCTCGGCCACGTTGGCCTGACCACTCCCTCCTCCTGCACCGGAATTTCATCTGGTATAGGCATCTCCTGCCTCCTAGGCCTACCATTCCTACCACCACGTCCTTGTCCTAACATCCTAAGAAAGGTAACAAAGGATTAGCACATTCACAAATATGTCGAAGCTATTTCACTCACGTCCTAATACATTGGACAACTGTAATTCACTCCACATAAGCACATAATCACATAAGCACTTACGAATTTCATTTCCGGATAATGACCGTCCCATGGCGTTGCTAGAGTTCCAGTTAGAAATGGCAGTGATCAAGTACCTTTCCAACAAGACTCCCAGAAACCCATAGATTCGATCAACATCCTAAAAACTAAATTCCATACCCATACAGTCACATAAGCATGTTATCATATAAGCACATAACATCATACATAAGTCTCTAACAAACGAGACAAACCCATAGTGGTACTAACCACTTCCCACGTACCTAAAGTATTCAAACCCGGGATGCTCTGATACCAAGTTGTAACAACCCCAAAATAAGACAAGAAAGATAACTCATATGCGGAATAAATATGAGAAACAACACACTTTCATATATCAGAGTTCATTGTTTAACAACCAGTTAAATGCCATGTAGGCTTACATCTTTCCAAGTCATTGCTTGGTTACACAAATTGAGTCTCGCTCATTACATCTTAAGCCTTTGGCTTTACAAATAACAAACATACACACATAAAGCATAAGTAAGAAGCTCTTGCGTCCCGAAAGTCCGTCCACCTTATTGCCTTGGAGGAAACACCTCACCTGCACCTGAAAATGATATTCCCGTATAGGGTGACCCAACAGCCCAGTAGAGATAATCTAAAATAATATATGAAGTTTAGCAAAGGTATAAATACCACGTACATAAACAATACCGATACTAAACATTTACAAGGCCTGCATATTCATATGTCACTAAGACCAAACCTCATTTATATTTTCCTTCAATTCATTTCAGGTTCATAGATGCTACTTAATTCATGAGTTAAATTCATTATCTTTCAACAACCAAAATGAGACTACAATTCAAAGGTTTTCCAACTATGCAAAATACACATAAACACTTCAAACCTTGCCATTTTACGGATATTTTGTCCAAAGAAACCGGCACCCATGTATATATGAAACTTTTGGGTCTTTCACCCAGGACACTCTGGCCAACTTGTTTTAAATGGAGTCTATCCCCTTTCTCCTCCCAAACATATATATATATATATATATGCAATGTATTTATAAACATAATCACATATGGAGTACATCCCCTTTCTCCTCCAAATAAACATACATATACAATGTATTTATAAACATAGTCATATATGGAGTACATCCCATTTCTCCTCCCAATAAACATGCATATACAATGTATCTATAACATGGTCATATTCAATGACACCAACAGTGAATTAGCACTAAATCGCCTAATCCTCATGCAATTTCTACAACAATCATAGCTATCGTCCACCGATAGCCCAATACAATTATTTCTAAGAGATGTTCAATCTCAAAATAAATAGTTTATTCAAAACTTCCATAGGTGAGATATTACATATCCAATATCACCATTTATAACCACAGCCTTCCAATTTCACATTTTTAATGTTAATCTCAATCATTTATACAAAATAATAATTTAATCAAAATTAGGGCAAAACTTCCCTCTTTCCAAATATCAACCCAAACACCAACATCAACTATTTTGGCACAAAATGATCTTATATTCAAGCCTCAAACTCATTTACCTCATATTCATCAAATACCCCTCTCTTCATTCACACCCAAATCCTAGATTTGTCCAAACCATAACCATATCTCATCATCTATACACAATAGCAAATAACTAAGTTAAAAACCATATTAGAGTGTAGAAATTCCCTACCTCAAGTTTTGAAGAGAATCTGAGATGAAACCCCAAAATCTACGGTGTCGAAACTCGATCTCCACCGCACACAATGTAGCCCTCGAGGTAATAACCAACTTTGGTGAAGAACTTAGGCCTAAACCCCAATGGATTTGGAAAAATCAAAGATCTTGTGAGATTTTTTGTAGGAAATGTCGAGAGAAGGGAGAGCAAATGTTTTTTTAGAGAGAGAGGGAGAGAGATATATAAAAAGTGACATTCAATCAGCCTAAAGAGAGAAGAAAATGAAAAATTCTGGATCTACCTAACTTCCCGTACCTCCAGCCGCACCTGCCTTTTTAGCAGTGTGCTTCATCCCCCTGCCCTGTTTTCCGCACGTGCAGCCCCCTCCCGCACTCTAGACCGACTGAGCGGACAAGCAACTTCGAATGCGTTTTGCATTTTTGTTTTGAGGGGCGCTGCCTTCTGGACCCCCGCGAGCTGATCGGGCTGCTCGACCCCCGCCAGGGTGCTACTCTTGGACCCACCAAGGGGTGCTACCCCCTTGACCCCCGTGAAGGGGCTCCACCCCCTCGATCCCCGACCGGCCCAATCGAAGTGGCAAAATATAAAAGAAGGATCGAAACCGGGATCGCTACATAAATAAATAGTGAGCTAGAGCCCAATGAGTAATAACAGAATAAAGAGGTTAAATGAATGAAGCTCAATAACATTGTCAGACCAAATTTTCATTAATTCATTAACTTCTTTCAATATCGTTTTATGTGATACATCCATGAAGCGACAATATTCCCGTAATAACGGACCATAAGTCAATCAATCCAAAAGCCATGGTATTGTTACCCCGAGGCAAGGGCCTAGCCATGGTATTGTTACCCACAAGCAAGGGCCTAGCCATCGTATTGTTACCCCCAGGCAAGGGCCTACCCATGGTATTGTTACCCTCCAGGCAAGGGTGTAGCCATGGTATTGTTAACCCCTAGGCAAGGGCCTACATTCAATGGATGCCACAATACTATTTCAAAACAGAACTTCATTCATTAAGGACATAACATTTCAATAAGCCATGCTATCAATTATCAAATCATTTTAAGAATTCATTCAAGCAATCACATATCCATTTTGATAGTAATAACATTCTCAAAAGTAAAGATAATTTGAACATATCTTTATAGGGTTATTACTCACATTGGTTTGTGGTGACACTAAGCCTCGGACGTCCACCTAAACGAAACACATAACAAAGTACAAACGAAACTCCATTTCGTTTTAATTCAATTCTGTTTATGTGTTTCTAAGTTATTGTGTGATTATAGGAGTCCAAGTGGTACCTAAGAATGCTCAGAGTGGCATGAGGATGCAAATATGCACTTAAAAGAGTTGGTAAAGTTTTACTGAAAACAGGGTCTCCGCTCGAGCGCAACTTCCTACGCTCAAGCGGTGGTTCAAAAACAAAAGTGGTCGCTCGAGCGTAACTTCTGTCACTCAAATAGTCTGTAAAAGTACTGGTTACATGAAATTCCTGCTTAATGGTCGCTCGAGCGGAAAACTGAGAAAAAGGGTCCTCGCTCGAGCGCCGCTTTGGTCGCTTGAGTAACCTGTAAAATTTTAGAAAACTTCTGGGAGCTCGATTTTCACGCTCGAGTGGGGCTTCCCTCGCTCCTCCGCTCGAGCGAACATGGCGAATTTTGGAATTTCCAAAACTGTGTTTGAAGTTCAAACATGGTATTCAAAGCCTCAAATCTTGGATTTTTGGTACAAAAACATGGAGAATCATTATATAAAATGAAAATACTTCCAATTTGAACCCATTTATTCAAAACCTTGGTAATTTCTCAACCAAAGACTTCAACCTCAAATTATAAAATAAGTTTAACTCAAATTGAGTGTACATTTCTTCAAAACATGTTCAAAATATAATCGAGTGACATGAGAAGATGAAAACATGAAGGATTCTCCAATTTAAGGTGTAAATGTGCCATGCATGTAGGAATTTCATGAATTCTTTATGTTCAATTCTTTCATACCCAAGATGATCCTAGCATATACCTTCTATATTCATGCAAATGAACTCAAAACCGTGATGAATACAACTTTTACATGATTTGATTTCAAGAATTTGGGTTGAATTCATACCTAATGTGTGAATGCAAGTGTTGTATAGCTTAATCTTCAATTCTCCTTCACAATTCTTCTTCTCTCTCTCTCTCTAAGTGTTGAGTTCTTAGCTTCCTTTCTTCAAAATCTCAGCTCAAAGATGTATTTGAGTCTAATTGAGCTTATGTAGCTCATACACATGTATATAATTAGCTTAAGTTAATTAAGCTTAGTTAGGACTAATTAATCCCACTTCATTTTTATAAACTCTAATCAATCATTCAAATTATTTTGATCCAAATCAAATTTCAATTAAAGTTACCATGAAAATCTAAATATCCTAATTGGCCCATTGGGACAGTCAATTTCAGTTCCTGAAGCAGTTTAGGCTCTCAATTTCTGTCTCAAGTTATCAATTTGAACAGATATTCCATGTGACAACAGATAATTACAAAATTAAACATGTAATCACACAATTAAACACACAATCATGCAATTAAACTTATTAAAATAATATAATATACTAGTCCGGAGGTCGGGGTTGTCACAGTCTATTCCCCTTAGAGAGTTTGGTCCTCCAAACTTAAGTTATCTTTAAATGGAAACAAATGCGGTTATCTTTGCCTCATCTCTTCCTCTTTCTCCCAAGTGGCCTCCTTCCCATAATGTTCTCTCCACTCGACTTTCACCATAGGGATAGTTTTGTTTCTCAATTGCTTCACTTGCAGATCAATGATTTGCACGGGCCATTCTTCATACATCATATCCTCATCTAAAGTAATCTAGTGGTAATCAATCACATGGAACGGATCTCTAAGATATCCACGAAGCATGGATACATGGAAAACGTTATTCACTGCTACCTTGTTAAGCTCTCGGTAATTAATGCATAGTCGGAGAGTGCCATCTTTCTTCTTTACAAACAATACCGGTGCTCCCTACGGTGAAGTACTTGGATGAATAAATCCCTTACCAAGCAGTTCCTGCAACTGAGTTTTCAATTCTTTCATTTTAGTGGTAGACATATGGTAAGGAGTTTTAGAAATTGGTTGAGTTCCCGGTATTACATCAATTGTGAATTCAATCTCTCTATCAACAAGTTGGCTAGGTAATTCATCCGGAAACACATCAGGAAAATCTCTCAGCACTGGTATATTGTCTAGAGTAATGTCTATCGTTGGTTCAATTATTACACTACACAAATACCGTTGACAACCCTTATTTATTAGTTTTCGGGCTTTCATGACAAGTATGAGGTATAGTGGTGAAACTACCCTTTTTCCCTCAAAATAAAATTCATCTTGCCCAGGAGGTCGGAATATTACTCGTTGCAAGGCACAATCAATAGTTGCATAGTATTTAGCTAGCCAATCCATACCCAAAACAACATCAAAATGTCCCATGTCTAAAGGTATTAAATCAGCATATAAAGTAGCATTCCCGAGAAATAATTCACATGCAATAAATACAGTTGAACATAGCATGGATTCCCCCATAGGTGATGCAACACATAGTATATAATTCAATGTTACCATATGTCTATTCAAAGTTTCAGTAAAGACCATAGAAATAAACGAGTGTGCAGACCCAGAATCAATTAAAGCATAAGCAGGTTTACCACAAATGGAGATTGTACCTGACACCACGGCCTTAGTATTTTGAGTATCCCCGGGAATCAATGCAAAAACCCTTCCTTGCCTTTGGTCATTTCTTGTGGTAGGTGATGCTGTAGCTGGTTTTGTTGTGGGAGCTAACCTAATTGAGCTTGTGCCACCTCAGTTGCCACCCTGACGTGGTTGTGTACGATCTTTGGCAACGCGCCCAAACTTCCCACAGTGATAACAAGCCCCTGTTGCACGATAGCAAACATCTCCATGTTTCTTTCCACATGTAGTACAAGTTGGCATTGAATTACCACTTTGGCTTGAACCAGTATTACTAGAACTCCCAGACTTGAACTTCTTGTTCATTGACGTAGTTCCCTTATTAAAATTTTGTTTTTTGCCTTTCCATTCGAAATTTTGTTTACGGTTGGCCACATTTCTCTCTGCTATCAATGCCTATCAAGTACATCCACGTACGTCAGCAATTTGAGTACATTGATTTTATCTAGAATTGGGTCATGCAAACCTCCTTCAAACTGTCTAGCTTTCTTGTAATCTATGTCTACCATGTGGAGTGCAAAGTGAGCTAACTCTATAAATTGAGCCTCATATTCAGCAATTGATTTATTTCCCTGCTTGAGTTCCATGAATTCAGCCGCCTTTCTGTCTCACACATGTAGACCGCCCGAACTCTCTCTGCGCGGGCCCTCCTTTCGGAGAGGGCGCGAATTGGGTTCATGCTACTACAGTTCGGACTCTTGTCACGGTTCTGTATCTAGTCTCACAAAGTGCAATGTAAGACTGATAAATCACCAAAGAGTCCAAATCCGGCAAATCGTTTTGGAAAATCGTTTTGGAAAATCGTTTTTAATCAAGAAGTGCCAAACATGGACTGCTTTGCCAGATTACAAAGTCGCCACCTAAATATTTTATTTTGGAAAATTTAGGAAACCCTGACTCGTGCCAAAGGCCACATGTCCATCATCACCAAAGTTGCCTCGGCTCGGGAACTTGGGTACGAGAGGGGAATGTCCTGAAATGAGCACCCCCGCCTGCCCGATCAAAGATCGGCCTCTACTAACTTGCTATGTTGTTTTGAAAACAGCTAAATTACTCTGTGATGCGCACAACACACAAGTATAGACTAAATCGCTCGATTTGGAACAAAACATCTCATGTTTGCTTTTCAAAAATGGTTTGAAGATGCTACTCGCAAGTAGACTAAAACGCGATTTTGCCACCAAACAAGGTGGGCTTAAAACTCACATTTTGATCAATTATTCCAAGTCAAATAATAAAGCCTTCATCCATAGGCATTCATGCAGTTATAGCAATTAAGCAAATAGCCTCATGGCAAGCATATGCTATCATGGCAGTCACTTACATACATGCAAGGATGCTAAAGCATAAACACTTACAGTGTACTCCGAGCCAAAACAGAGAACTAGTTAGAAATCAATACAAGATCCTAACTATACAAGATGTCTAATGCAACACATGCAAAATGCAACTAAATAGGCTCGGTTATCTAAAATGGCATATGAATGCAGCACTTGATAACATGCTTTGAAACACGTATTCAAATAAGTGTATTGAAATACGATGCAGTTTGAATGATGCGCCGAACCCGGTGCATACAAGCATAAGGTATGCTAATTGAAAATATGCCCTAAACTACCATCAAAAGCTGATAAGTAAAAGGGAAAAAGAAATGGGGTTGGAAGACATGCACACACGCACGCACCCTTATTACAACATTTGTGCCCTCTCGACGGAGGGTTCAAATGAAATGAAAGCTAACTAGCTATGCTAATTAAGCTAACTATTACAAATCACAACTAATTAACTAATTAGTTAACTAATTACAAACACAAATGAATAGCTAAACGCATTAACTATTTAAGTACAGAATCAACGAGTTAACCATCCAAGCAAAGTAGTTAAAAGGAGCCTCGGGGCGGGGAATGTATGCATGCTCAGTTGCTTCTTCCTGAAATCCCGCCGCTTTGCCACCGGTTGCCTCTGTTTGCATTTGCTTTGATTCCTGAACACTGAACCAATTCCCAGACTGCTTCTGTTCCAGAACCAGAATCACTTTGAACCATCTTCAAGCTGGTGGACTGTCGGTCACTAGGGGAGGTTGTAGGCCACTTGTCGGCCACTTAAGGAGGTTGTAGGCCACTTAAAGTGGCCAGTCAGCCACTTCCTCTGGCCGGTCGGCCAATTACTTCTGCACACTTCCATTTTGCTGCAAACAGAGTTCAACGAGGGCAAATCAAGGCATTTGCAGGGTATGTGTGTACAACCACCCTCCTTATCATTTCTCAATCTCAAAGAAGTGCGGTACTCGACTCTCGAGCCACCAATCGAGCATCGCAATGCACGATGGCCGAGAAGCCAAGTTTGTACAAGTCAATGAATCCACAAATAACATACAAGACTCAAGAGGCCTCCACCCTATCATGCACAATCAAGGGGGACGACGACTAAGAAATAAGGCACGTTTCATCACTTCAAGTATGAAACGTCTCTCGTTTCTCATGTTTGAATTAACGTCCGATCCAAACGTAATGCAATGTAAACAATGTATGTTTATCTTTTGATGCGAAAGTAACATGCACAAGACGCTATTATGCAAACAATGTATGCGAGACATGTTAAGGGGGGGCAAGTGCACTAATAGCAAGTGAAGGACATTACACACGAGGCATGCACTATCAATCTCGAATGGTCAAACCAGCTGTGGACAGACCTACATCATACCGAAACAATGGCAAAATCATGCTGGAAATGAAGCACAAAAAGATACAATAACATGCTCATGCATTGGCTCGCAAGCCAGACATTAAACACAACTCTCAAACACAATGAAGAAGTGATAAATAAGAGAGTATAGCAGAGATGTAGGCATTGAAATCATATGTTAAATGATGACATATCATGCAAATAACACAAGTATAGCATGTTAGGGTCCTCAAGCATTGAAACGAGTGAAAGGCACAACACAAGGACTATTCAATACAATGCTCAAACAACCAAACGAGCCCAAAACAAAGCTCATGCATGCCAAAACAGTGGCTAAAATGCTCTGAAATGATAGCATGAAAAGCAAGAAAATGATGTTCGTGCATTGGCTCATAAGCGAGGCATAAGGTTCAACTCTCAAACAAAATTAAAGATCGATATATATATGAGTGTATGATGGAAGTATATGCTCTGAAATTTCATACCAAATGATGCCATATCATGCGCACATCACAAATACAGCATGCTAAGGGCTTCCAAACTCAAGACTAGCTAAGGCACTTGTACCATAGCCTTACCAAGCAAGCCCCAAAGGACCAAGATCACTCAAAACAGTCCTAAGGCAAGTCAAAATAATGCTAGAAACATGATGGAGTGTAGCCAAAACAAGCTAGAATGGTAAGCCAAAGCACTAAGCATGCAAGGCTAATGAGTGGGATTACACTACAAGTACTAGAACCAAGCAAAAGGTGACTCCATCAACCAAAATCAGAGTTGTAACATGGAAAAATAAGACCAAGAACATGGTGAGATGGTAGCCCAAAAGCTTAGGCAAGCATGCAGACAAACTAGCCCATGATCAAGACATAAGGCACAACTCTCCAAAAGCATTGAAAGAGTGAAACATGAGAGAGGATGACTACACTACATACACTAAAATCATGTGAGAAATGAGGCCAAAGCATGCACACAACTCAAGTAAAACATGCTAGAGACTTTGAAACTCAAAGCTAGTGAGCAAGATTGCACTATGGCTATACAAAGCAAGTCCCAAATGATCAAGACCACTCAAAACAGAGTTCAAGCATGCTAAAATATGAGCAAAAACATGCTGGAGTGTAGCATACATATGCTAGATTAATAGGCTAAACCATCAAGCACACTAGGCTAGTGAGCAAGTTTACACTACAAGTGCAAGATGCATGCAAGAAGTGGCCAAGCCAGCCACAAACAGAACTAAAACATGTTAAAAAAGTCACAAAAACATGCTTAGATCAAGGCAAGGTATAGTATAAAAACATGCTCAAGTATGAGGCCATCAACACAAGCAATCAAGGAACAAGGAGAGGGGATGACCCTTTCCTATTTGGGACCTCAAAACACACTTTCCACCACTAAAATTCCTCTGGAATTCAGTGGTTAAAAGGCCAAGAGAAGGTGATCTCAAAGGCCTTAAGAGATGGCACAAAGCAAAGCAAAACAAGCCACCAAAGGGGGTAGACCACCCCTAACTTAAACAAGGCCTCAAACAACCATTTTAAACACTTAAAAACAAAGCTTTTTGTAGTTGCAAGTTAGGCTTAAAACAACATGCAAGGATGGCTAAATAAGCAATGAAAATAAAGCTTTAAAGAGGCTATTCCTCACCCTTGATGCACAACTTCAAAAATAGCAACTTCTGAGGCAAAACCAAGCCAAAACTACTCAAATGAAGTCCAAAGGACCTCAGCAACAAGATGAAGGTGTTTGAGTAGGTGTTTGTGTGCAAAAGTATGAAGAAACAACACTTTTGGTTCAATATAACACAAATATAGAGAGAGAGGGAGAATTCTAGTGAGAGAGGATATCTTTAGCTCTCTAAAAAAAATATGAACCCTTGGAAGGGAGAGAGAGCTCCCTTCTTATAGAATTCCAAGCCTCAAGCTTGTTGGACAAGCTAGAAGCTTGGTGCAATCCCTCCATACACGTGTATGGAGGATGCCTTTTGTGCCCAATAGCTGGCACAGCTAGTAGTAAAAATATTTGCAAAAGTAAAAAAATGGCCGTCGGCCACCTAAAGTGGCCTACAAGAGGGATAAGTGGCCTACAAGAGCCAAAAGTGGCCAACAGCCTCTCTCCCCCCTCCCTCTAGGCAAGGGAGAACAAGGTATGGCACAAAAACAAACCAAAAGGAAGAGAGTTAAGAGGCCACAAGACAAGGCACACAGCCGGAGGCCCCGAAAACTAGCCTACGGGCCACTACAAGTAGCCTACAAGAGAGATAAGTAACATACAGCTACAAAAAGTGGCATACAGGCCTCTCTCTCCCTCTAGGCAAAGGCACCAAGGCAAAGCTCCAAAGCAAGGCCAAAACACGAAGAGTTCAGTGGCTCAAAGACAAGGCGCTCGGCCGAGACCTTCGGGCACTTAAAACTAGCACAAACATGCTCAATCACCGAGTGCACAAACGATGACGTCTGAGTCTTAAGGTCGGTCAAAAATGGGATGTCTACAGTTGCCCCTCTTTGACAGAACTCAAAAGTCATGAAATGACGGGAGTGAATGTTAAAGCCTAGAGACGACCCATTTTTGACAAGGCCGAAGACTTAGACAAATAGGCAAGATAACAAAAAGAAGCCCCG